AGATTTTTTATTTAGTACTTGTGCTCTTGAATTTTCCCCATATTCAGACCGTAAGTTAAATCTGATACTGAAAAAGGTCTGGAAGGGCCAGGGGTAGTAAAAGGAAGTCTCTCCAGGCAGAAGCACAGCTGCAATACAAGATGTGGCTCAAAGGGAGAGGCTGGTGGTTACCATGACACTCTCAGGATGAGGAATGGAGCTAGGATCAGATTGCCACAGGGAGGCCCTTGGCAGTCCCTCCTTTTGAACAGGATGATGTTGGAGGCAATTAAAAGGAGACCAGACCAGAGCGAAGATGTCTGTTAATTCCCTCCACTGGCAGCTCAATTAACATCTACTTTTTTTAAAGGATTAAGCTCTATGCTGGGACTTGGATATATGAAAATGAGTAAAATATGCCTTTTACCTTGGTAGAACTCACAATCTTTCTCAAAAACCTTGTAAATAAAGTTATGATAAAGCATAGTGAACATTGTATTACAGTTATATACCAGGACTATGAAAACAATATGAAGAGAGAGGTCAGAGAATGCCTCAGAAAAGGTGATGCCTGAGTTGAGAGGAGTTAAGAAGATAATCTGGAAAAAGGCAACATGAATAAAGGCTTAGGTCTGAAAGGGCCTAATGGTCTGGGGAATAGCCCCACAAGTCTGATGTGGAGTTTAAACTATAAGGCAGTCTGTATGTTATGAGCAAAAGCCTAGGACTACCCAATTTGAAATTCAAAAACCTAAAAGCTTAACCAATGAAGTATACAGAGTTCACTTATGACAAGTTCTTTTTAATTCAGAACTCTTAAAAAAAAACCCTAATCGCATCAAATCAAGATGTTAAAATAAAAGGTTAGGGGTGCCTGGCTGGCTCAGTCAGTAGAGCATGCAACTCTTGATCTCAGGATCATGATTTCAAGCCCCATGTCGGGTGCAGAGATTACTTTAAAAAATACAGAAAAGGTTAGCTCTACCTAAAATCATTTTAACATGCACACCACATTTACAGAAAATAACAGCCTTATGATCTTTTCAAATACATAGTATAAAAAGCATTATCGTTGGGGTGCCTGGGTGGCTCAGTCGGTTAAGCTAGATCTCGGCCCAGGTCGCGATATCATGTCATGGTTCCTGGGTTCAAGCCCTGTGTCAGGCTCTGCGGTGATGGTGCAGAACTTGTTTGGGATTCTCTCTCTCTCTCTCTCTCTCTCTCTCTCTCTCTGCCCCTCCCCCACTTGTTCTCTCCCCCCTCCCTGCAAAATAAACTTAAAAAAAATTATGGTTAACAATGATTACTAATATTAAGTAATTTAAAATATCAGTTATCTCTTTTCTTTCCACATTTCCTTGGGGAATAAGGAAAGGGCAAAAGAGGAGCAGAAACAACTGAAACATGTAACCAGAATCAGAATCCCTGCAACACAGGGAGTAAGTTACTGAGCCTTGTGCCACACACACTGGGGAACATATAGTTCCTGTCCTAGCACAGGGGCTATCAAACCACAGAGGGCCAGATCTGACACTGCAGTACAAAATCAGATACTGATAATATATAAGTGAACAGGAGTGGCCTAATTTGGCCAAGGAGCTTTAGTTTGGTGACCCCTGAGCTACAAGTACAGGAGTCATTGAAAGAATTAGTGACCAAGGTACCATGGGAACCTGTGAGAGTAGACTCCAACTTCGGCCTTGAGGAAATGACTTTTTTTCCGTAAGTTTATTCATTTTTGAGACACAGAGACAAAGGGTGAGCGGGAGAAGGGCAGAGAGAGGGAGACACAATCCAAAGCAGGCTCCAGGCTCTGAGCTGTCAGCACAGAGCCCGTCGTGGGGCTTGAACTCATGAACTGTGAGATCATGACCTAAGCTGAAGTCAGACACTTAACTGACTGAACCACCCAGGTGCCCCTAGAGGAAATGACTTTGAATAAACACCTTAAGAGTATGGAGGAGTTAGCAAAGGGAGGAGCTGGCTTCTTTGGTGTAAGTGGTGATGATGGAGAAGGGCACTTCCAGCACAAGGCCCAGAATGTGCTGTGGCAGGGACAGTGAAGGCCAGTTTGACTGCAGAGATGGAGAAGAGTTCATAACGAATTGGGAGTATAGTCATAAGGGCCTTGACAGGATAAGTTAAAGATTTTGGACTCTAAAAGGTGCCGGGAAGTCCCTGTAGGGTTTTAAACAGAATTGACTTAATTTACTAACTCAACAAAGATTCATTTGATGGGTGCCTACTACATGTCAGGCATGTGCAAAACAAAGTCCTTGCCCCTAGGATATCTGTATTCTGGTGTAAGAGACAAACTGCAAACAAAATAAGCCTCTTTGTAAGTACTAGGAAGGAAATACTCTCACCTCTGAGAGGGTGAGGTTAGGCTGAGATGTCAAGAATGGGTAGGATGTGGTATGAAGAGCCAGGGGAAGAGGTTCCTGGTAGAAAAGGTGGGCAAGAACTTGGCATGTCCTAAGGCCAGTGTGACCAGAGAATGGTGAAGGCAGCAGAACGGAAGGGGGTTGAGGGGCTGCACAAGTGGGGCTATGAAGGCCAAGGAAAACCACTGGAATGTTTTAAACAGACTTGACCTGCTATGTGGAAAATGGACAGCAGGGGTATCCGGGTGGAACCAGGGAAAATTGAGGATACTATTGTTGGAGCCCATGCAAAAGATGATAGTGGCTTGGAAGAGGGTGGTAGAAGTAGAGATGGAGAACCTAAGATAGATTGGAAATATACTTTAGAAGTAGAAGTGACAGGCCTTACTGAAAGACTTGGGGGAGGAGAGTGGTAAGGAAAAACAACAACAACAACAACAACAACAACAACAACAAGATAACTCTCAGAGGTCTGGCTTTGGTAACCCTGTGGATGAGAGTTAACACTTAGAGAGAGAGGGAAGACAAGGTTTGGAATGATGGGAAAACTACAACGTTCTTTTTGTTATGTTAGATTAGGGACGTCTAAGAGACATCCAAATGGAGCTATTAAACAGGAATTCTGTGTACGATTCTTGAACACAGAGAAGGCTGGGCTAGGGGTTTGAACTTGAGAGTTGCCAGCTTTCAGATGGTTATTAAAGATATGAGACTGGATCATCTAAAGGACGCATGCAGAGAATCCAGGATTAAACTCTGAAGGAAATTCAACATTTAGACAGTAGGCAGAAAGCAAAAGTGGCTAGGAAAGGAGACTGAGAAGGAGCAACCAGAGAAATGGAGACAATCCAGGAGTAAACTGTGTTGCATATTCCAGGGATTGAGGAAGACGAGAACAAAGTATCCATGAGATCCAGCAATACAGAGAACACTGGTAACCTTGACAGAAATTCCAACCAAATGGTCAGAAGAGAAGCCAAACTAGTATAGCCTGAAGAATGAATAAAATTCAAGAAAGCAGATACAGGTAGAAATCTGGCTATGAAGGGAAATAAAAAACTAGGATGGTAGTTGGAGGGGGATAAGCGGGATACCAGAGCAGAATGTGTATGTGACGGGAGCAGGTTTGGTAGGATTGGGTGACTAATTTTATCCAGGAGTAATAGGAAAAATCCAAGGATTTTACACAGGATTCTGACCATGGCACCATTTATTGAGACCAAGAACACAGGATCAAGGGCAAATTTACTTGCCTCCAAAGACCATTTGTTTCCACTATACTGGGTAGGCTTCTTTTCTTGTGAAGATCTATTGAGAAAGAACCGTGAAACATGCCCGAGCCTCTCTAGACTGCACCACTTCCAGATGTGATTAATCTCTTAATGAGGTTTAAACCTCTTAGAGTAACAATACTATGCTAATCTAATCTAGTAGCCATACAAGATTGAAAGAATATATTTGTATTGGCTGAAGGAACACTAGTGATGGAAAAGGCTCTAAATTCGGCTGATAAGGGAGTAATCATACTTTTGCAATGAATACACTGAAGACTTTAAAACCAGTAACATCCAGATAAATAGTGCAGGTAGGCTTTTTTCCCCCGAATAAATTAATCAAATTCAAGACTGTTTACATTCTCCATGTTCATTAATAGCAGCGGTGTAACTTAATACTCCCTTGCTACTTCTGATATTACAGTGAATTTCCACGGACGCATTTTCAGAGAGTTTAGGCCTCCTCTTAAATAAAAATAAGTATCACTTCTTCAAACAACCTAGAAAAAGAACTGCTCCTGCTGGTTCGAGGTACTGCCTGGGGAGAAAGGCAGAAAATGGAAGAAAATGAAGTTTTCACTTAATAGCTCATTCTGATGTTTGGGGTAGGCGGTTGATGAATGCAGGCATCTATATAAAAAGTTCTAATTTTATTTTCAACAATCGGAAAAAAATACCATTTGGCATCACCCTCTAACTTGATGGTCGAGCTGCTGAAAGCTCCGTAGGTTTAACATCCCCAGAACAATAAATTCGATCACCTGATCCTGACTCAGAAGCCTTAAGTCCCTTCCATTCCCAATCTTTTGGCGTGGCCCAATTTTCACAAGCTGCGAGAGAAGGACGGAATCCCGGGAAGCCTGTTGATACAACAAGGCGACCAATTCATCGGTTCCGGGTAGCACAGGGTTGGAAAAGCGCTGAGACTCTAGGCAACTACTCCGGTTTCCTCCTCCTTTTCCTTCATAGAGCAGTGAAGGCCGGGGGCCCCCCTTCTTCCCGCATACGGCTCCCCAATACCTCTTCCCTTACGGGACCAGGCCCTAGGAGCCTAGTTCCTCTCACCTGCCCCATTCGAGGAACACGCTTTCCAATCCGAACTTTACCTGCCTGAAGCCCGCCGCTACTCCGGTGCGCTAAGCCCCCACCGACGAAAATGGAGTCGTCGAACCGAGACTGGGAAAAGATACTACGGACCCACCGCACGGCCCCTCCGCCGCCACCGCCGCCGCTGCTGCGTCAACGTGCTACGTCACTTCCGGCTCCCTGTCACCGGGAGTGGGCGGGCCATTTCTTGCTCTCTCCTCTCACCCGGCTCTCGAGGCTTCGTTTGGGAGGGCGCGAAAACTGGCAGAAGTGGCTCAGGAAGAAAGTGTCGCAGAGACTTGGGAACAGAGCTTGGGGATCGAAAACGTCAGGCCTGGCTTCTTCCTCAGGCCGCTCTAGCCAAAGGAACCATAAAGACTAGACTAGGGCGTCTCCGTTTCCTCCTCTCTGTGGTTCCGCCTGCAGCTTCCGCTTCCGGGGAGGGGCCTAATTTTTCTTCGAAGATTAGGGTTTCTGCGCTATAGGTACGATGGCCGTGGTGCCGCTACTGTTGTTGGGCGGTTTGTGGAGTGCTGTGGGAGCGTCCAATCTGGCTGTCGTTACATGCGGCTCTGTAGTGAAGCTACTCAATACGCGCCATAACGTGCGACTGCACTCACACGACGTGCGATATGGGTCAGGTACTGCCACCCGGGTTCGGGTGGGCTGGGAGGGCCTGGTAGGCTCCGGAGGGGGCGGGGCCAAGAGAATATCTGAGGGGTGTGGTCTGGGAAGGTTAGGGGATCCTGGGGTAGGTTCCTGAGGTTTAGAGGCGGAGAATCGGAGAATTGGGCGTAATAATTATACTAGCTTCTGTCTGGTGTGTTACGTACCGGGCAGATTGCACGGATGCTTTTTTGGATTTATGACATTCTTACGAGGTAGAGACGATTGTTATCCTCATTTTACAGATGAGGAAACAAACTCAAATAAATCACATGCTCAGAGCCTTGCAGCTAGTGAATGACAGAGACGGGGTTCGAACCAAATCTGTCCAGTTTCAAGGCCTGCTTTCAGCTACTCCAGGCTGGCACTACTCAGTGCGGGAGAGACAGACATGTAGAAAATTACAGTAAGTGCTGTATCTCTGAAGTCTTGAACTCCAAGACCTCACTTTTTAACTATATTTCCTCTGTGCTGGCTATTTTATATTTTATACTAGCTCTTCAATCCTTTTCCTTTGTCCTCTTTTTACTCAAATTTACCCTTGTAGAGAATTTAAAGCACTCATTGGGATTGGGGAGGAAATCATTTTAGAGGGCTTTTTAACGTAGGACATTAAAATGCTTAGTTGGTGGGTTCATTCAATAACATTTTATTATGTCCCTAATATTGTTCTAGATACAGGAGATATAGTGAGCCAGTTAGCAAGTTACAGGAAAACAAAAACTGACCAAAAAAGTTCAGCTAGTGAGATGTGAGAAGCATCTAAGATGATTGCTAGATTTCTGTCTTGGATGACTGATGATATTAGCTAAGAGAAGATGGGGGCTGGTCTGTGCTCATGATTCTCAAAACTCGTCTGACCAGTTAAACTAGGAAAGGAATTGAGTTGTCACTGTTGGGATGTTTTATAATCCTAGCAGCCATTCAGTGAACACCTACTATGTGCCAGCTTGTTACTTTTTAATTTGATGTAGTTTCCTAGTTTGGGTCTACTAAATCAGAATGTGGGAGAGAGGCCTGACAATAATAATGTGTAGATTTGAAAGTTTTTCAGGTGCTTCTAATGGGCAGCCAGATTTTAGAACCAGATTCAGTCTGGATCTCAAAAGAAAGATCTGTGCTGAGCCTGAGGTAGAGAGTTAAGTACATCATTGTACCACAGGGCGGGAGTTGAAAATATCGGGAAAGTGAGATTGCTCAGGATGAACCGTGGTTCTTCTCAATCTGGTGTCAATTTGAATCCCTTGAAGAACCTGTTGAAGCATGTATCAATGCTTTTGTCCTGACCTCCAACAAGTGTTTAAGAATAGATAAGGATAGGGGCACCTGGGTGGCTCAGCTGGTTAAGTGTCCGACTTCAGCTCAGGTCATGATCTCTCGGTTCGTGGGTTTGAGCCCCGAATCAGGCTCTGCTGACAGCTCGAATTCTCGAATTCTGTGGCTCCTTCTCTCTCTGCCCCTCCCCTGCTCACACTCTGTCTCTTTCTCTCAAAAATAAATAAACATTACAAAAATTAAAAAAAAAAAAAAAGGACAAAGGTAGACTCTGGGTAATCCAAGATTTAAGGGTGGGAGAAAACTCTACTGGCCATACTACTCTGAACACACTCAATCCCATCTGATCTCTGAAGGATAGGAGAGGAAGTGGAGAGTTGAATGGAATATGAAAAAGTGGAAGACACCAAGTGTAGACCATGATTTAGTGAAGCCTGGCAGTGATCCAGGACAAAGAGAGCTGTAAGGCTGTAAGGCAATAACCAGAAGTCAGGAGGGAGACTTGATTTTCTTTCTTTCTTTCTTTCTTTCTTTCTTTCTTTCTTTCTTTCTTTCTT